TCTCTTTTTTTACGTCAATCTGTTAACTACATGATATTTAACACGAGCTTATTAGAAAGGAAAAGAGGTACTTACGGGGGGTACCCTCGGGGACTACCCTCACTTTCCACTGTACGTGAGTTGGAATCTCGCTTGGGAGAATTTCATTTCCTTTTTTCGTTCGTATGTTGTATGCTCATACTTCCTTAGCCTTGCTAGTTATGTCTCTATTTAATCATTCTCAATTCTTTTCTAAAAAAGCGACCTCTTTTCAGTGATGTTGCTGCTTTCTTAACAGAAATACCGTTTAGCAGAGTACAACATGTACGTGGCGTTTTCAGCAGCTTCAAATGTGACTGGAATCCTGACAGACACTGTGGCTGTAGCTGAACTGTGTCACAAATATGGCGCCTTATCGTTCTGGGATTATGCCTCAGCCGGTCCGTACCTCAACATCGACGTGAACCCAACACAGAATGGGTGAGGAGAAATGTTGTTTCTTTATGCAAAAGATACACAGATAACGCCGTTAAACTCAGCTGTGAAATCACCCACTTTGCTCCAATATACGGCAAACTTCTATTAAGCGACCGGTCTCAGCGTTGTATTGGCCAGTTTTCAGGATCCCAGAAATATAGTCAGTTTGACACTGGAAAAGGTCTGCGAACATTTTGCATTATTATTTGCTCTTTCGCACATGCACGCGCACTTGGACGCGCACGCGCACTCGGACGTGCACGCGCACGAAATCTCCTGATAAACATAATATCAAACCTATTATCGTTATCAGAGATCAGATTACTTGTCATTTTGATGTTATCCTTATTATATGTCGCAGGTATAAGGATGCAATTTTTCTTTCTCCTCACAAGTTCGTTGGAGGGACTGGCACTTCGGGTAAGTTTATGCTAATTAAAAGGTTGTTTAACTGCAATCACGTAATTTATACTAAACACTGCTTCTTCGCCTTTCAGGCTTGCTTATCGCTAAGAAAAGTGTGTTCAAGAACCCAGTCCCTGGCGGCTGTGGAGGCGGAACAGTGTTATTTGTAAGTTTACGTTTTTTTGATTGGCACGATGACTGAAAAGTGTGCTTTCTAATCAAACGTTTTTCTCTCTCTCTTATCAGGTGACACGTGACACGCATTTATATTTAAAAGACATTGAAGAAAGAGAAGAAGGTGGAACACCAGCTATTGTGGAGTCAATACGGGCTGGTATGGTCTTCCAACTTAAACAGGTAAGTTATGGCTGTATAGTTTAGTCAACACAGCATTACGACTCAGTAAATCTAGCTACTTTATACTCTCACCCCGTTTACTTTCCTGATTTTTTTTATGATGACAAACTTAATTCTTTTCTTAATTTATAAATAAGACCAAAACAAATCTATAAAGCGTAGTTGTTCCATATTTCGATTTATGTTCATTGGTTTATTCTAATAGTCAATTTTAATCTTATTTAGAGGGGTAAGTTTCTAAAAGAAACTGTGGTTGTGCGTCGGTGAGGAGTACAGTAATAGCCCACGTATAAGAACCTGAATTTTTCAGTTTAGCCTAAATAGGTTCTTACATAAATGGTACTTAAAGCATATTTAGGCTACCAAGGTTCTTAAAATAGTTTCTTATATTTTCATATGAATTTCATCTGAATACACTATATATATTAGAAATATCATCTCATAATACAGT